TGACTCATACAAACTCGAGTCAGTAAAAAGAGTCGAACCTCCCGTCTCTAGTTAGCATCTTCCCATTACTGCCATAGCAGTGGGAGTCGGAACAGTTTAACTACGCCGCCTTAACCCTTTTATGCATATTGGTTGCTACAGTGGCAGCTACATATAAAGCTGTCTTCTCGTATTTGTATAGGTTTTGATGGTATAGTTGCACATCAGTCACTAAAATGGATGCTGGTGCATCATCCCATTCACTGCCACCCACTGGCCTGCCGTTGTAAGTGCAACAAACATTTCTCAAAACCAAGATACCTGACGGAAGGCCAGAAATGCTGAGCAGCTTAGGGATGTCTCGTTAATCCTTCTATCACAGGAGACTCTTGCAGGTAAATAACATTTGGTAATATCAAGTAACAAATACGGAGCAAATGTTCTCTGTCCACTAAACTAGACATCATGCAGTGCTGGCTATATTTCAACAAAAACTGATACTATTACACACTTTCTTGGCTGTAAATCAAGAGAAGGATTGCACACACAGTCCCGTGTTTAGGAAATGTTATGCAGCTCTGATAAGCAGCACAACAACATTAGGACACCGATGTGAGATTAAGGAAGCGATAAATGGAGCAGAGTAGCAGCAGTGGCAACCACAAAACAGGACTTTAGCAGTAAATAACAATAACAATAAAGCAAGCTGTCATATAATAGAGATTAAATATTTCTCTTGAATTCTGCATATGGAGTAGAGTGGAGTGCATGTGAGAAAGGACAACATTACAAGGGGATACCTAAAGCTTGCTAAGGCTGCTTGCAAAACAGTTACATCCCAAGCACAATACACATTAGCATCCCCTGGAGAACCAAGCTTGCAGGGAGATATGCAGGAAGAAACCATCCCAAAACAGCACCAAAAACTTGGATGATGCAAAACCAATTCAGCTGTCACATGAGCCAACACAAGAGTATTCATTCATGTCTTACCATTATGCAAATCAATAATGAGTGCATCATAATTCACATACAAAAGCCAAGCATTAATAACTAATTAAATCACAATTAATATGTATGCAAACACTGCCTATAGCTGGATTGCATCAGCAGCAGCAAAGGCCAGGACAAAGGCCACAAACACATCTGTCAGGGAGCAGTCAAACAGCACAGAAACACCGACTAAACAGAGTCCCTACCTTTTATGAAGCACAGCAGCGAGGTGGACCAGAGTCGCAGCAGAACCGAACATCCAGGTTTGAGGCCGACCAGGATTAGATTGTGGGCCAGAAGCAGCAGGAGGGAGCAGATCTCCTGAGGCAACGTTGATAGGATGCCGGTGAGTTGGCTCATGAAATGCTACATTAGCAAGAGTAACAGGTAGCTGGTAGTAATTGTTTGGGGCAGTTTTCGGGGGGGCAGAGTTGGTATGTTCACGGTACTGCCACAGCAATAGGGGGCGCAGTAGGCTGCTCATACACCGGGGTGCGTTCAAGGTGTTGTTTCATGCCCCTTTCTACTTCTACTCCACTACATTTCAGAGGGAAATATTGTACTTTTTACTCCACTATAATTATTTGGCAGCTTAAGTTTACTTTACTTTAGTATTTACTTTACAAATTAAAACATACAAAAAAATATAATGATAGGAAATATATATAAGAGCTTATAGCACATGATGCTTTGCTCTAAACTAAACTACCTAAATGATTAACTGATCAGTCCACTGACAGAAATTTAATTAGAACTATTTTCATAATTGTCATTTTTAAGCAGAAACATTTTATGGTTCCAGCCTATATCATTTGGAATTTGTTGCTGTTCGTTGTATGGAACAAGCATTGTGAAGGTGTCACGTTAATGGCGTTTTGCGCTGTTTTAATTATTTTTTACAAATCAATGGATTAATGGAGAAATTAAAAATTAGTTACAGTCCTATACAAAAGACCTCAAACCTCAACTAACTAACGCATGAGTAATGTAACAGTCACAGGGGACATTGAGTACTTTTAACTTTAATACTTTAAGGTCATTTTCCTGATTATACGTACTTTTACTTACCAGAACCTTTTATTGTATTTCACAGCTTGGAATTAATACTTTAACTTAAGTAAAGGATCTGAATAAAGATGAATTTCTCCACCACTGGCAATACCTTAAAAGGTAAAGTTGAACCGATCCTTTTTGCTGCATACATTTTGACCTGTCAAACACAGGTGTATCTAATAACATTACTGATTGCTGCATTTCATTGCAGTGATTACTAGAACATAGACATCCGTAGTGTTATTAGTTCCACCTGCGCTTTGCCTGATACAAGAAGTCAAAATATCTGCTGTTGTGAAACAAGTCTATGAATACTATTCATTTGGGAACAATGAGGAAAAGAGTTTCAGACCAAGATTTAAAACATAGGCCAGTACCAGACTGACAGTTTTTCGAAGATTTGTTGCTCATTAAGACAACATGTCAGTCAAATCCACAAAATGAAGTCCGTCTTGTTTTGCAAACTCTGGTTTGGCAAACTTTAACTTGCATTGTTCAGCCGAAATTAATGAGAAACATGTGACGAAACATTCTTGTCACTTGTTAAAAATGCCAATTTACAGTTCACACATGGATTTTGATGGGAAACTATGCAGCACTCACATGTAAACATGTAAAATATATTTATAGCTGTGACTCTGTACTGGTCAGCTGTTTACAGTTCAGGCTCAGTCTTCAGACCTCACAGGGTATTGTCTTTCTTCAGCAGGTGGCTATGTGATGGTTTGGCATTTTAGTGCCTGTGTTGTTCTGGTGTAAAAGGTCCGTTGTTCCCTGCAGTGCTCTGGGCTACCAGTAATTACCCCAGTCATCAATTCATTCTACTACAGCTTAAGTGCTAACACAGCTAATCTTGTTAGAGTGATTTGATTAGCAAGAACATCGCCCACTATCACACCTCCAGGGTATGAGCACTTGAGATGAGGCCTTGTCCTGTTTTCTGGCCTTACTCACCCAGAAATGATGTATTACCGTGAAGAAGATAAATTACCATGTTCCTTGGATTTTACTGTCGTTCAGATTCCTAATTGTTGCGCAACATACATTTAGAAACAATCTTGGAATGACCATTTATGTGTTGTTTTAGAGTGAATTACTGAGTTTCTTTTTCAGGACATGGAGTTTTACTTTGTAAATTCACCAACCACAAACTGAAATAAATACCACCCATCTATTCTAAAAAAGGTACAGTCCCACAGGAAATCTCATTTCCCACCTAATCTTCTCCCCACAGATCTCCATTTTTAAATCATCAACATCTGTTTCTACTTGTACTTGAGGAGTATAAATCAATGCTGTAGTGCAGTGTGTTGCAACAACATCCTGTCCCTACTGGGAATTATTTGTTTTGAGGAAAATACAGTGCAGATTCGAAGCTTGATGCATAACTCTCTCCTCACTTCCTGAGGGGTCTTGTGGGTCAGATTCAGATTGCTGATAATTCTGGTGGCAGCAAGACCAAGACCACGCAGGCGATTTGATACCATACGGGTGCTCATTGCTGTGACAGGATACGCAACAAGATAGCATTCGCCTAATGGATGATTCTTATCATTCACAGTAATTGAAGACAGCCTGATCATAATCCCCTGGAGGTGTAAATGGCTCTGTTGCTGTGTTTCAGACAAAGTGAGATACTGTCATCCTCTCTGCAACCTAGCCCTGACTGAAGAGCACTCTGGTACATGTCATGTATTTTCAAAAGGTTTTCTAGATCTTTGTACCTATTGCCTTTTGACCCTGTGCGACCTACAAGAAGCAGCGAGCCATAGAAAGTTCGGTAAATGTGATCATTCTCGATTGACTGGGTCAAACATGAGCGAGCAAAAGTCACCAAACAGGACCTCTACTTAGCCCAAAGTGTTTGTTTTTCCTTTCTTTCCCTGTTTGTCTTTAGCCCAGGTGATGGCTTTATTCACCGTCAACACTGAAACTGAGGGGGATTTAGGGGATGACAGCCACGCCACCTCATTCATCACTATCTATCTCCATAACTGTTGCAATAGCTGCTTTGGACTGAGGCAGAGAGGTGAGGATGTGACCCACTTCTCAACACCTGTCAAGACCTTAAGAAAGAGAAGAATAGTGAGAGACAAATATCTTTGGTGGCAAGGTGTGTCTGATGGATGTTTGCTAAAAATAGAGTCTTTTCTTAATACAGCTGGATTACACAAGCGTAAAGTGTGCAGGCTTCACATTCCAATCAAATTCTTTTAGCGCACATGAAATTATTCTTTGTAGTACAGTTTTAGTGGCTCAGTCATACTTAAATAGCCTCAACAAAGCCAGCTTGACCACAGGGAGTTGTCAGCTCGGTCACCCTGACACACACTCACAACAATTCATCTACCACTTTAAAAAAAAAAAAAAAGTTTGACAAATGAGTGACAGCTGAATCATACTGGAAAATGGGAAATGTTCTTAGGAAGCCCAGCAAGGAGTAAAAGAAATCTCAGTAACCCAACTCTCAAGCTCCACCCTGCAAAGTTCCCCCTCTCTCCCAGCCCCTGATACACCCTGATCCAAGCCAAGGGCGAACTTGTGGCAGCTATTAATACAGTGTGTGTCGACAGGTCCAATCACAGTCAGAGCCTGGCCATTCCTTTCATGCTGAGCAGAGGGACAGGGGACTGTCATATGATAAAAGATGGTCGCTAGTGGAGGAAGAGAAGTGGTCGAGATATTAAAGTAAGATTAACCACAGTGCTGTCAATGCTTGTGTGTGTGTGTTTCTGGTTAATTAAACTGTGACGTCAAATTGAAACACCCTCAAAAGATTGTGCAATGGGCCCAGATTTGGTGCTTTAATCGGCCGCACCTGTCAAAATCAGCAGTAAATTTCACACGAAGGAGAAAACGAGTGATTAAAAGCAGACATTAAGAGAGAGGGAAGAGAGATGGTGCTTCGGGAGTAGGGTGGAAAGAGGAGGAGGAGAAAAGGGAGCAGGAGGCGGAGGAGAGGTGCTATTGTGTAAGATCTTGTGTGTGTTTGTGTGTGCGCAGACTGTTGGCCACAGAAAGAGATGGGCTAGGACAATACGTAGCTGGCTGGCTCCAATATAATTCATTCATCATTGTAGTGTGTGTGTGTGTGTGGAGAGTAGTAGGGGTGGGGGGTGTGTGTTAGTGTGTTTGTGTGTCAGACGGTATTCCTGCTCGTCTCGCTCCACCAGTTAAGTTAAATCAGAGGCAGTCACTGGCACACTGTGGTGGTCTCTCTATCTCTCTGTCTGTCCTGCTCTGAAAGCATCAACAGCCTCCTGGTTCAGCACCACAGGTAAGAGCTCACGTTACCTCATTCTCAGGAAGATGTTTTACCAACTTTAAAAATAAATACATTTGCCAGTCTTTGTAAATCTTTAAACTCTTTAAATGTAACTTTCTGTAATAGCCTCTGTCATTGGATTACTACATTTTAAACTGTTGCTTTTAGTCGTTCCATCAGCAGCACAAAAAGGTTTCAGTTTATGTACATAAGGCCTTTTTGAAAATCAGTGATATTACCTTGGGAACCCACACAATATAGCCAACGGAAAGATTAAATGTTAGAGGTATTCACCGATTTAATTGGCGCTACCTATTGTTGCTGTTTGTTCAAGTTGTTCAGGTGAAAGTCCTGTGTGCACAGAGCCTTTCAAACCACCTCTGGGGCTGTGCAGTAGGCATAGGAAGAATCCAGAACTGCATTATGCAAACTATACGAAGAGAAGGATGGAGTTTATAGTAAAGTTTACATAGTCTCATATTCCCATAGAGAATTAGATCCACTTCCTGATAAACAGTAGCTGTGCACTCCCTAAAAATCCTCACTTATGAAGAATCTAATCATCAAACAAGCTGGGGATATAGGGGATGGTGAATAGCAGGGAAATGTAATTGAATAAAAACAGGTGAAATTTAATTTGAGAGAGACTGCTATTACACTGTTGAAGAAAAGAGAAATACAGTGATGACACTTGAGAATGAACATGTCGAGGAAGAGAGGTAAAGAAGTCATCATTCCCTCCGAGGTTAATCATGCTCTTAAGCCAAGAGATTTGTATGGGTTTCACTTTTATAGCACTTACTTTCCCCCCTAAGGTTTAAATGTTTTGAGACAAAATATATTCTGAGAGCCAGTAAGTGTGATATTTAATATAATCTCAATATAGTATATATTTAGTTTTGTTATTGTACAAGATTCCGGTGGCATATTTAATTAAATACCATACAGGAAATGAAGCAAAGCTTTACAGGCTGAAGTTTGTGCTGTTTAATTGTGTCACATAAAAGCACAGTTTTATAAACAGAAAAATGCAGACATGGTTTCTGAAGCCAATATTTCCATTAGCCCCTTTTCCTGCAAGCAGAGGTCAAGTCCTCATTTAGTCCATGGACACTGTCACTCTGTGACACACAGTCACACACGCTTAATCAAAATCTTCTGTTCTTTCTCTTTTTAAACATTTATGCATGAAATGTATGTATTTTAAATGATGACGTGTGTTGATTTGGTGCATCAAAAAAAAATGCACTCAACTTCATTGCATTGCACCACCATACTTAATATTTAAGTTCCTTTAGACATCAGTAAGTTTACTCTTGGTCAAGTTTCCTACTTCAAAAGCTCTTCAGCTGAAATGACACCCTTGTAAGTTGAGACAGAGACAAAGGAGGCTGCGGTTGAGGTGCGCTTCACTTTAAGACACCCATATTTTTACTCTACAAGTGATGAGTGAGAAATTAAGCTGTAATACTGTTTAAAGACTACCATTTGGTCGTGGTGGGTAGCTGGGTATTACATTTGTATTCCTGTAACATGTTAGAAGATACAGGAAAAGTTGAGTTTACAACAACAGGAAGCACGCGTCGCAATGTTCTGTTCAAACAGGCCTGAAACGAGGCCTAAATGAGAGGATCATAATGAGGTGGTGTGCTGCTTGTAAGATTAACCTTACTTCATAATGGGCTGATATAAATCATTAACTCCATCAACCAGACATTTTAGTGGCTCTCTCTATGGGCAGCCAGATGGTGGTGCTCATGTCAGAGCAGCAAGGCGCTCAGGCCAGGGGCAGCCTCAGATAGCTCTGTTGATGGGAACAACGATTCGATCCAAGCCAAGTCCAATTCGGCTAGCCAGGACCGTGAACTTTTCTAGGTTTATCTTTCTAAGAAATTCCCGTAATCCCAAGAAAGAGGCTGCATTTAAATACCCCAAAATAGGCTTAGAAATGGAATGTTGCTACTGTGCACTGTGGAGCAAAAATGTCCCCAAACTTCCTCCTAATCATGATTTTATCATTCATTGTAAGCAGCTGTGTGTTTGCAAACAGTCCATTGTCGTGTCCGAGAGGATGCAGCTTGCTCGTGGACCCTGTGAAGTGGTTGTTTACCTTCCTGTGTGTGGTCACCCAGGGTTTATGGCTGTCATTCAGTAATGTGCCATTTCCCTCCGTGCTATAGCTCACTGGACACAGCTTCACTAAATCACCTGCACCTTCTGCCCCTGCCACCTCACCTTTATTATCGGGCTCACTTACATATATAGGCAGCAATAACTTTCAGTCTTGTTTATAGGTACTGCCCACAAATGTCCCCTCGCCTTGAGCATCTCCCTCATGGAAAAATACTGGTGGAAATGCCACTCGGACCAATAGTGGTAAAAGGCATGCAGTGTCGGTTTTCCACCATATTTCCATTTGCGGTCATTACAAATCTTCTTCTCATCAAGAGATCGTTGTAAATGGTTTTAAATCCCTAAACTGTAAAACTGATACGTGTTTTGTTGCTCTCTTCTGCGTAGTTTAAATTTACGGCTACCCACTGTTTCTGTCATTAAAGAAAGAAAACAAATGTACAGTAAATCCAAGCAATGACATCTGTGTTGGTGCTTTACCCTACCTACTGCACCACGGCCTGTGCAGGAAACTCGCAGAGCTATTTCATTATTCTGTTGCCCTTGGCACCCACACATCTTCCACACTCAATAATCCCCCCACATCTGCAACAGATACGGTTGTTGCTTTAGTGCACTGAGAGTTTTTTCAAAGAATCCATCCACTGAAACCTGGTGGAAAATGAGGAGATCTTTGACTTGGAGATAAAATAGTTCTACTGGAAGGGCTCAGACTGTCTTAATGCCAACCAGAGGGCAGTAGGAATGCAGATAGGGAATGTTTTTAAAGTGCATTCAATAAGTAGTCCACAGTAGCTGTAAGAGCAACAGCATCTGGATTTCTGCAAAAGCAAAAGGCAATTTTAAATATTTTTAAACATATATATATATATGTGGGCTAGCTGAGGTGAAACTATATTTATCAATATATTTTCCATCATATATCATTGTACGCTGTCAGTTGTGAGATGGAAAGAGAGTAAAATCTTGAAGCTAGAATGCCATCTTGTGGCAAGACATTTCCATTTCTATTATGGCAGCTTATACAGCAGACTACATTTTATACAAAATATTCAACTTATTTATTCCAACACATAAATATTGTTGTTTCATCATCTGTTTATGTTATTTGCCCACTTTTGAGCTCCAAATTCAGATCATGTTTTTCCCCTGGCAACTGTTTAATTTTAATGTAGCCACAAACATGTTGTCATTTTCATGTAATTAGCAGCAGAAACTATCTTTGCAGCTATAGTAATAGCATACATCAGGCTTATACTAATATTATTACATCAGCTCCACTTATGGTGCTCACTAAGCTTTTCTATTAAACATAAAGACTCTCAACAAAGGGGAGAATTTGTTTTTTACTCCCATTACACATTCTGCTTGTACAAATGAAGCAAAAACTAGCCCCGAGGCAAATTTTCCGCAGCACGCAGGTTTGATTTTCTCACAGAGCAAAGTTTCCACAGAGCCGAATCCCTGCTGTCCTGTTTGTTTAGGTGTGTGCTGATTAGAAGTTCTCATGCTGGGTACAATGTATCTCTGCACACCAAGGGTTTGAAACGTGACATGTCTTTTACAGTGACTGGAGCCTCAACTCTCTCTTTCTCTCTCCCCCCCTTCTCCCTCAGTACTTCAGTGTTTAATGGTGTTGTTACCCAAGCTCGCACTTTGACATGCAGTCTTCATTAACACAGGTCATAACACAAGGCATAAATGTTCTCCTTCCGGGTGCTGACAGTCCACCCAGATGGACGGACCATTTGATAAACACTGTACAGTTTTACTGTTGCCATTCATTAGCCGAGAGACGATTTAAATGAGAAGGGAGAATGCAGAATGTCTGAATAATGATGTTTCAAAGGGCATTTTTGGAATATTGAATAACATACAACATCTGTTTTTCATGGCTTCTTATTTTACAGAAATAACATAAAGCGTCAGGATGGCTTTAATGTGCAGGTCTTTAATGAGCTGGTGTAGGGTGAGCACTTTCATGGGTGCTCGTGTGGATTAGCGTTTATGGGCCATGCCAGCGGTAATGATGGCTCTTCCCCTAGACTGCCTGTGACATTTTTGTTGTGTTTCTTTTATAGGACTCGCTGAGGCCCTCGCCCAAGGCCGGTATCAGTCACCACAGACGCACCCTGCCGACAGGGCCCCCTGTTTAAAAGTCCCAGGAACTGGCACTAAAAAGGGAAAATGCAGAATATAACGGCAGGAGCGACAGAAGGGATAGCTCTGACATGCGGCATGTCTGGAAGCCATGACTTCATCTTCACCCTGGTACCCATCGTCTACGGCTGTATCTTTGTCATCGGCATTGTCGGAAACAGTTTGGTAGTGGCTGTCATCTACTGCTACATGAAGCTCAAGACTGTGGCCAACATCTTTGTGCTCAATCTTGCTGTTTCTGACCTTACCTTTCTTATTACTCTACCCATGTGGGCCACCTTCACCGCCACAGGCTATCACTGGCCCTTTGGAGGATTCCTATGCAAAGCAAGTGCAGGGCTGGTGATTTTTAACCTTTACACCAGCATCTTCTTCCTCACAGCACTCAGCATCGACCGTTACCTTGCCATCGTCCACCCAGTGCGATCGCGCAGGTTCCGCACTGTGGTGTACGCACGCATCACCTGTGTAGTGATCTGGCTTTTTGCCTTTGTGCTTAGTGTGCCCACAGCACTGACCAGGGATGTCCACAACATCACAAACTCTAACACTACAGTGTGTGGCATTCTGCACCCAAAAATCGAAAATGTCATTAGATTGAAGGAGCTCCTGCTGGCCATCAGCTTCATGAAAAGCCTGCTGGGCTTCCTGGTGCCCTTCGTTATCATCATCACCTGTTACTGCCTTATTGGACAGGCACTGGTGGGGGCGAGACACATCCAGAAAAGCACCCGTTCCAGGGATGACGAAGTACTGCGCATGCTTGCAGCAGCTGTCCTTGCCTTCTTCTTGTGCTGGGTGCCCCATCAGGTCTTCCACTTAATGCAGTTGCACACCCAGCTGACAGTGGTGGAGGACTGTGCCATCCTGGAAATCATTGACACTGCCATGCCCTTCACCATCTGCATTGCCTACTTCAACAGCTGCGTTAACCCAATTGTATACGGCTTCGTGGGACGCAGCTTTCGCAAAAAAGTACTGCGTCTGTTGTGTTGCTCGCCAGGTGCAGCGACAGGGCCTCACCCGAGCATCAGCTCCAAGATGAGCGCCCTCTCTTTCCGTGCCTCTGAGGCCTTGAGCCTCACAGCCAAAAGTAAGGCCTCCTCTGACATTAAGTAAGGAAAGAAATGAAGAAAAGGGGTACAAGTTCACTCTCCCCGCTCTTTTGGTCTGTGGTTAAGGGGCCGGGGATGGCAGACATTCCATGCTTTAAAAACCCCCACTGTATTATCAAGCACTGAACCATGCAGAATGGTTGAAATGTTGTATTCATGTCTCTCTGTAAGTAAGTCCAAGAGAAATTTGCTACCTTTTGCAAGGCTTATCTGCAGAATAATTAGTCATAATCCATCACATGTCACACAACATTCACGCTCTACACAAACATCTGGTTTAAAAAAAAATGCAGGAATGAACTATCATCAGTAGAGATTTGCCCTGCTAGAAAAGACTATATATAATTACAGAAAGTGTATCCATTTATTTATATAACATATGCATGTACTGCAGGATTTTGTTGCCATTGTGACTTCAGGATACAGTGCAGTAATATATTGTCCAGTGATAACCATTCTGTGTGCACAGCAGGTCTTTCACCAGTTGGAACAGTGATCAAGTGCTTATCAAAGATGCCATAGCTTAAAAAAAAAAAGGAAATATATAAGCCCCCCATGCATACTCTGCCAAAAGCTGTATACATGGCACAATTGATGTGATGAAAATGTATATCATTTAGTAACAATATTTGACTATGATAACTTGTGCCTGTATGCTATATGTGATAATGTCAAATGATGTGCTCTTTGTAATGTATAATAAGTGTTTGCATAATAAGGTTGAAATGCTGAAATGTTGCCTATTCTGGGAGTAACATGTTGTATAAATAAGAGTGCTACATGAACACTCCAGGTAGAGTGATCATTGTCAGTATCTCTGGTTGTCTTTGTGGTATTTAAACATGTTCATAGATTTGTTTTCCTACTCTGTAAATGTACAGTTTGTGAATATATAAAAATGTGAATAAAATGGAAAAAATCCACAGTCCTAAGTTGATTTTTTTCTTACGTCATATTTTTTTAAAAAATCAAGTCATCCTGATTAGTCATAGAAAATGTGTCAGCAGTGACAAAACCACCCAGAAGTAACAGCTGATCTGAAATTAAGCAACTATTAGGAATCAAAATCAAGTGACCTTGGCTCAGAGCACCTCTAGGATCTATTAATCATTGACTATGCATCACGCAGGCCCCTGTTCCTCCACGTAGCACCTAAAAATAACAGGTGCACTAGTTCTTTTTGGGAGGATGTATGACATCTAGCTGCATCACAGATGGGGATTGGTGGATGGGCGGCAGGTCGGGGTTATAAGTGCTGTCGATCAGTGAGATCTGCCACACTTCCAACATGAGGGTCCTCCTGCTTTTCGGATTGGTGGCTATTGCTCTGGCTGACGTCACTCGCTTTGAGGGGTAAATCTCTAGTCTTTGTTAAAGCACATTATATTTGTAACACTATTGCTATAATAAATGTTTTTGGTGCTAATCATGACTTGGCATTAAGTTTTGGATTCACACACAATGACATACTGTGCTATGGCCGGTTTACTATGTATTATAGGATGTTTTTTGCCAATACCTTGTGAACCAAATGAGTATTATATAGGTTAGCATTCTGGTTCAATGTAAACAGCCTCCCATTGATTGAAAGTATGTCAGTTTTTATATGTGTGGCCATCGGTAAACCATTTGTTAAAGAGGTTGTCATGTTTATGAAACAGGTCATTGTAAAGTGTTAGTAAGATGACTCAAACCACTAATTGTGACAAGTCCTCCCAAAAACCATTTGACCACTAGCTATATGTAGCTGCAATTAAATGTATACACACTGTTGTGTGAATTGTGAATTTAACAGGGATACAACAGAATTAAAAGCGTTATTGGGTATGTCCTCTAAGAGATTTTGGTGGGGGAAATGATGTTTTTTACATTTAAGGATGTTCTTTAAAGATACTGCCCATCTAATGCTACATGGCATCATGGCAGACATTGAACAAAAAAACTAAACAATCACCCTCATTTCATTCGAAAAAGGCCAGCACTGTTAGCACTGCGGCTGTTAGACTGTATCTTTTTATGATCTCTCTTTTTTTCACTAGAGAGAAAGTCTTCCGTCTGAAGCCTGTGCTTGATGAGCATGTAACCCTCATTAAGGAACTGGCTAAGAGCATCGAGGTACCTTGCTGCCTTCTTTTACTTTCTCACACACACACACACACACACACACACACCTTATAATGCTATCCTCACTCACTACAGGTGTTTAATGGGTTTGCTAGTGGTGGAAAAGGATACACTGGACCTACTTATTTGGGTCTTTCATTCACTTAATGTACATTCAGACACACAATCAATGTCTTCATGAGTGCTTAGATCACATACTATATATCTGCTGGCTCTTTGGCATCTCAAATTCACTTCACAATAAGAATTTCTTTCAGCTAATCAGTTTGTCAAGTGAGAGGCTGAAAACCTGTATTCAGATATCATATCAGAATGTTTGAACATGCTCAAGTGTTTGGCTTTGGCGCCATCTGCAGGTTGACTTCTGGAGCCCCGAGAGTGCTGAGCTGGTGACCATCGACATTGATGTGGACATCCGTGTGCCTGCCATCTACCTCGATATTGCGTACACCATCCTGCAGCAGAATGACATTGAGTATACGTAAGTCACAAGACTAAGATTCAAAATAAAAACATTTATCTGATTTTCACTTAATCGGTGCTCATGAAATTAAAACATCTTAAACACTAGCATTTATTTTTTTTTACATATATGCTTTAACACTAATTATTCTCTCTTCAGGGTCCTTATTGAGGATGTGCAGGCTGCTGTTGATGGCCAGGCTGACAACAAGCCCACTCCCAGAACCCACAGCTATACCAAGTACAACAGCTGGGACAAAGTAAGAGGCAAAAAAGCTCATCAGTCACAATCTCTACCCTCACTGGACTGTTATTTCCTGTTCTTATTTGTTCACCCTTTAATTTCAGGTCCAGTCCTGGATCGCCTCCATTTCCTCCTCCAATCCCAATCTGATCAGCAAGCAGGTGATTGGAAACACCTACGAGGGACGCCCCATGACTGTTCTTAAGGTATTTCAAGACTTATCTGCCATATCAGTCCTTTGTGTTGAAGAATTTAAGATACATTGAACAAAAATTAAATCAAGCAAATGTTTTGTGATTACTTTTAACAACCATAGCTCGGTAAGAAGTCCGGCTCCACTAAGCCCGCTATCTTCATGGATTGTGGTATCCATGCTAGGGAGTGGATCTCTCCTGCTTTCTGCCAGTGGTTTGTCAAGGAGGTAAGGAAAACACCTGGGTGGGCATGACAACATTTATACAGAGGTTTCTTAGAATTACAAGGAACAATTTTCTTCCAATCTTTCTCAGGCTCTGTCCACCTACGGCAGTGACTCTCAGATGACCAGCCTGCTCGACCAGATGGATGTCTTTGTTCTGCCCGTCTTCAACATTGATGGCTACGACTACACCCACAAGAGCGTATGTTACAACTGCTAGTCCTAGCAGAGACTGTTCTGACTTGTTTATATTGAAGAGTTCGTTGATTTGTTTAATTCATGTCTGACATGTTTATTTTGTCCACTTTGGGGACTTTAGAACAGAATGTGGAGGAAAACTCGCTCCAGGAAATCTGGATCCAGCTGCATTGGAGCCGATCCCAACAGAAACTTCAATGCTGGCTGGTGCAGTAAGTGTAACTTATACACTATTATATCTTAAAGGGGTACCCCAGTGACTTTATATTGCACTTACATAAAGATGGAGGGCTTTTATGATTAACAGATTAAAAAAAGAATGGCCAAAATCTGTGCAGCGGAGGCCAAGATATCCTGACTTTTAGTGTGTAGTATGAGTCACAACCCAAAACCTTCAATCCTACATTTCCCATAATGCAACTTGATAGCACCTTTTATTTGACTAGAAAACAGCCTTTCAAACTCCACACTTCCAGTCTGTAATGCAGTCTAGCTGTTATAAATTTGTTCTCCCATGCTTTTCTCCGACTTATGAAAACTCCCTCCAGAGCCACATAAAACATGTTATATATGTAACGGTATATATGAGTGTAAAATATTTCTCATGGCAAGTAAATGAACTTAATTTGTACAATTGGTGAAGTGTACCTTTAAAGGTGGGGTCAGTCATTCATGAGAAAAAAGTTAATTGTTAAGAGTCATTCCCAGGTTGTCAGATACAATATTTGATGAATGCCACCTGTTGTGTTGTGTGGCAGTTTCTTACCCATTTATCATAACACAAAGCGTTTGTATATGATGACCTAGGAATGAAACTCAACAATCATTATCATTATCCAGAATGACTAACCCCACCTTTAAGTAAAGTCCCGGTGCATTTGAAGAAGTAAAAAAAGAAATGAAATGAAATTCTCATTGCAGCCATTGGAGCCTCCAGCAACCCCTGCAGCGACACCTTCTGTGGGTACACTCCTGAGTCTGAGATCGAGGCCAAGAATGTTGCCGACTTCATCCGCCGGAACAAGTCCATCATCAAGTCCTACATCACCATCCACTCCTACTCCCAGCTGTTGCTCTTCCCCTACTCCTACACCTATGAGCTGGCTGCACACCACAGTGAGCTGGTAAGTCATCAGCTGTCATAAATGTTTGTGTTGTCCATATAGCTGAGTTAGGACAGTGACTAACTTAACGGAAATGCCTGGTAAATCACAATGACTATATAATTATACATCACGGCAGTGTCACATACATCGCTATAATGCAGTAGCCTTGTGTATACAGCCTTGCTGGAAACTATGCATTGGCAACGACACATTAGATTACCTGCATCAGACATTTTTGATTTTTTTGGATCAATTATATCTTCATATAATGATCATCAGACAAATATCAAAGGTAAAAGTAGTGTCACTATATGGATTATATTTACAGCAGATTTCTAAATCACTCATTTACTCAAAAACATCTCTAATTGTTTTACACCTTCAGGAATCATATGCACTAGAGGGTCTAATATAAATGAATATATGAATATAAATATAATAGACACAGATTATATTATTTTTGGAGGTGTTTCCAAAAGCTTAAGCAGGAATTCAACCCAGTCCCATTATGACTCTTATCTAAAGGCCACACTTAGCTGCTGCAAATCATTTACTCCCTCCTCATATGCCTCATTCTCATGGCTCTTTTACCTCTCACTGGGGTGTCCGAGAGCTGCACAGTTAACACTCACACCCTTGCTCCAGTTCTCACACTAACTGAGGCAGATCACACGTCTCTGCCTCTCTATTACTCACTTGTAATTTAAGCTCTCTTCTGACACTTTATAGAACAAAAGAACTCCGGGGATCTGTCATAACTCATCTGTCCTCCCAGAAATATCATTTCCTGCTTGTGCATTTCTCTGGGGGTTTCATTTCCTGTTGGAACTCACTGAAGCTTTTTACTATGTTCTGTATTATCAGTAAAAATATTTTGTTTGTACTGTAATGGATGGTGGATGCTGCATGACTATATATATATATATATATATACTGTATATATTGAGATAAATATCTATATATATATATATACACTGTATATATCTATTTTATATATATTGTTCTTACTACCTGTTGTATGTTGATTCTGTACAGTATTGTTCCTTTATCAGCCTTTTCACTTAAAAAGCAAGACTATTTAACTTTTAAAAGAATTAATAACTCACTCTTACACTTACAAATCTGAATTTATAAGCAATAAAACACACAGTTGTTCAATTGATAACATTCAGGTATTCTGCTGATAAAATCTTGGTCTGGTATGACCAGTAGCTCATGGTGGCTGATATTACCGAACTTTACAGAGATATTTCTGTGTAATTGACGCGTGTTCTCTTAACACTTAAGTTTCTAAATTCAGCGTATGAATATGAATGTGAATATTCGTATGCTGTGAATATGTATGTACTTTAAATAGTAAAAAATGTTTTGGTCCTTTGTACATCTGACTTGTGTTTCTTCTCTGTATTGTAGCTGAAGGTTGCTGAGGGGGCCTCTGCTGCTCTGCGTAGTCTGTATGGTACTCGCTACACCAGTGGACCCGGTGCTACAACCATCTGTAAGTACAGCGAATACTGCAGCTGCATTTTTCTCCGTAGGGAAATATTGTAGTCAGAGGAACCTTGATGGTCTTTTTCCACTCATAATAATATGCATTACGATTCACAATGCACAAACCTCTTTTGAGTGATGTGTCCTCTAGAGGCAACAAAAAGTAATGACTTACCATGAGAGAAAGCTATTTCTAGCAAACAAAGGATTTTTTTTTTTTTGGCCCTCAAAAGCAGTATTTGTATGAAAACACACCCAGGCTGTCCCAGGTCATCAGCATATCCCACTCTGAATAATCCCCCTCTCCTTATCTGCCCTCAGACCCCGCTGCTGGAGGTTCTGATGACTGGGCCTACGACCTGGGAGTGAAGTATTCCTACACCTTCGAGTTGCGTGACACTGGTCGTTATGGCTTCCTGCTGCCCGAGTCTCAGATCAAGCCCACATGCGAGGAGACCATGCTGGCCGTCAAGTACATTGCCGCCTACGTGCAGAAGAACCTCTATTAAAGAGCGGAACTGCCAGGACCCCTGCCAACTCAGCTCCTCTGTACCAGCCCCCAGCCCCTCCAATCTCTCAGCCATCTCTAGCCTGTATCCATGGATACGGGCACCACCCGCCATGTTTCCTCGCTGTGCTTGACAGAATGTCAAGATGAGTGCAAACAATAAAATCAATGATCCATCCACACATGCTAAATACATTTTTTTATGTGTATATGATAATATAGTGTCTGAATGTCTTTGTTATTTATATGAAAATATACAACAAAACAGTAATGTATGGTGAATAAAATAATGCTTACAGCCCATCACTAATAGGCCAGAAAGCTTGTCTGCTATCTTCACTGTCCAAGAAAACACAATGAAACACTGAAAGTGAACAATGCAAACCATCCAGCGTGTTGTCTTGAACAAGTCACTTAAACCAGGCAAATGCTTTTCAATCTAGAAAGCACACAAGCAACAAAAGCCTCCACTAATTTACTGTATCAGCCCCCTTTGAACCCTGGTGATCCCTCTTGTTGAGCTGGCACTGTTCCAGCGGTGGAGGTCGGGCGGGTGGGGGTATCAGTCTTTTAAGGATTTTAGTCCAGCAGCACAGTACGTGACAACCGCAGAGTACTCCTTGGCAGCGTCTCCACTCGGCCAAGCATCTGCCTGAGTGGAGAAAATAAAGGAGCCAAAGATCAGCAGGGAATCTAACTGCACTGGAGCACATTTCTGAAACGAAAGGTAGAAACTTAAATTGAGAAATGAAAGGTTTCATATTATTTGCAGGATTTGTTTTCTCGTTGCTACATTATGCTTCCTAGTGTGTTAATAATTGTCTGAAAATCAGTTACGGGAATATTCCCTTATATTTATATTCAAACTGCACTCACCTATTGTTATTTATGTAAATATAAAGAATAAATAGTTACTGTTGATCCCCCCTCCTTCTAGCATTACCCATCTCCAAAAGCACCAGCTGATCTGAGAAAAGCTCTTATGAGACCACTAAAAATAATTCACTGTTGTGTAATACAGTACAAGCACCAGGGACCTCCCCAACTGCCTCTGTTTGTCTCGTCCCTCTCTTGATATACCGTCTCTCTTCCACAAGATGGCGACAAAACACCAAATGTATATTACAGAACATCTTGTTCCTGATCCCAGCACCTCATTACAGCATCATCACCTTCTCCACATTGTCATCACGGGTAAAGATGACACCAGGCAGGGGAGCTCACGGCAGTTGTCTGAAAGGTCAAGGCTGCAGAATGATGTTTTGGGAATGTGAAAATATGCCTGACTCAAAATAAGTTTTGGGACTTTTCCCCCCCTCCTGAGACCGGTTGTAAACACAATTAAACTTAACAAAACAAGTGCACAAATGATTTGAAGTCTAGTTTAAAGCTAAAGACATATCAAATGCTACACTTGCCTCTACATTTACACTGAATGAACACTTGTAAATGTGGAATATTTGAACTCCCTGAACTGCTGGGGGGTGTGGAGGCTCATGTTGGGAGCAGGTGGGTGTGTGGAGGCCGTCACGTGACTCTGCGTCTGGCTGCTGGCACTGTGGTATAAATCCTCCTCTTATATTTAGTCAGTCCTTTCCTCCAAGCGAAGCCGCCGTGTCCTCAAGTCCAGGCTACAAAGTAGCTTCGACTTCTTCATTCATGGCAGGTATGTAACATTTGAACATTTCTTCCCACCGCCATATTGCGCAGTCGCCTTCACCGAGGAGCAACATCCACGCTAAAAACGTGCTTTGTGTAAAGTTTTAAAAGTGTTACGTTTCGCCGTTTTCGCGGGTCTTAAATGTCAGAGTGTAACTGTTGTGAAATTGTTTTAAAGGTGTCTTCCCTGTTGTTTTGGTTGTAATGTTTGTTCAGCAGCAGCCTCCTGAAGTGAGCAGGGTAAAAGTACATTCTGTCTCCATCTGTGTTTTGCTGTCTATAATAGTGACCAGCTGACTGCATAGCATGAAGCTGTCAGCCATATCTGAAACATGATTACCATATATGACAGCCAAAAGACAGTGTAACTTGTCATTTGACCACAAGTTAGCCTCTAGAACTTGTCATGTCCAGATCAGGGGTCAGCAAACCTGTTGGATATGAAGTGCCTTTTTTTTTTTCAATCAGTGTGCCATATTAACATTAAGAATAACATTTAATTTAATTTAATTTAATTTAATTTATGACACCACAAATTTTAAATCTCCAGTTTATCTGTACAAATATATTCCACCCATATGGGCAACAACATTTTAAAGAAAACATTTCCCCCCATAATCAGGACATTGTAGGTTTTAAACAAGAGAACTACAAGAAGGCTGCCGTCTTTTATGAAATGATCCAAATGTGACTTAAAATCATATATACAGTCATTAGTGCAACTGCCGATGGAGGCAAAAAAGGCAATTTGACATGCGGATGAGAGGACACCTCTCTTTTCCACTTATTGCTAGTGTGCCATTGGTTAATCTACCGTGTGCTAATGGTGTGCATAAGGTTGTCCCCTGGTCTAGAGACCCTTCTCATATGGATCATGTCTAAAAACATTTGTTAACCAAATATTCAGATTATAATAAGTTTATATTCTCCTAATTAATGAAATGACAGCTTAATTAAATACATTTTACAGCGGACCCCTTTTAGGTCCCTGGACACAACACTGTGCTACTGTATGCCCTGATTCTCTATCGCTCACTTCCCACTTGTGGTATAATCTTACTGGGGGAAAATGGAAGGGAGTGTGTGCAGCCTGTGCTTCACATGCACTGAGGCTGAAGTGTTTCATGTTGGGCTACATGCATAAATACTACAGCACTGGTTGTACCAATTGAAAAGGGGGTGTGAGAGAAAGGAGGTGTGGCGCTGTTGGACACAGCCAGTTAGATAGAACAACTTTTCCTGGCACCTCCGCTGGGCAGTACTGCACTCGGACTGACTGGCTCCAAATGATAGAAAATGAAAGCCCAGTAACGTTTTAAACATACTGCACCCACTGTCTTACTCTCCTTGCCCATTATTGGTAGTACAGCAGGAGGATAAATATACAATCCAAGTGGGATTCATGTTGGCCCACATGCTACAGTCACACAAGCTCTCCAGCGGCCTTGCTGACTTCATCGCCTCAATTTATATGTCCTCTCACAGGCTAGTCATTGTTCTGAAACATGACTTGGCAGGTACTTGACAGATTTTCCTTCCTGCCGTTAGAGGTGGTGGTATAGAGTGGGCACCACGCTGCAAATAAAATTCACCTTAATGAGACATTTAATCTAGCTAGTACCAAAGTCTCATTATTCTTGAAACAAGTGAGAAATCTTCCATTCAGGCAAGACCATTAGTGCTGGTGGAGGGATGTTTTTGAGTATTTGAAACGAC